CAGCTGTCTTCTATTAAGCCAGACATGACAGAGATTTTTTAAAATATGTAAAACAATGCCACTTTTTTGTTGTTGTTTTGGAAAATATAGGGTTTTTATGTTTTTTAAATGTTATTCTAACATATAATGGGTTTGTTATTATTTTAAATGAATAAATATTTTAAAATTTTATCAGTTTTAATTTCTAACATGGTAAATACCCATAGATATAACCCACAAAACAAAATCATTTTTAAAAGTGTAAAGGGGTCTTGAGACCAAAAAATTAGAAACGCATTCGATTAGATGATCTCTACGGTACTTTCCAGCACCTTAGAAACCCAGCGAGTCTGTCATTCTTTCTTCCTGTTTCTCTGTTTCTTTCTCCTTTATGAAAATCAATAGCAACCCCAGGGAAAGTCCATCAGGGAAATAGGTTCTCCCTCCTCCCCTGTTGCCTCCTCAATATCCTCTACAGATCAGTCTCTGATGCTATGGGTCTTTTCCCTTTTACCCATCCAAGCAGTGGACAAAGGTGAGCTGGTTTCTAAATGGACTGTCATCTGAGTCCTGTGGCCTGCGAGGCTAAGGAGAGAAAGGCTGACTGGGGTAGAGGACGTCACCTAAAGCTAGAGCAGTAGGAAGAGAGAATGCAAACACACACACACACACACACATAAAACACATACTCACAAACACAAACACACACACATAAATTCACACATACGCAAACACAAATACATACATGCATATATATACACATTCACACAGACACACACAAACACAGAGAGACACATCTATACACATGCAGAAATACACACAGACATATACACACACATGCACATGCAAAGACACATTCACAGACATAAATGCAAACACAAACACACATATATACACAAACACACACTCACAAACACATATATACATAAATTAATATGTACACAGATACACACACACAAACATACACATTCACACAGACATGCACAGAAACTCACAGAGACACATCTATACATATGCACAGATACACACATTCACCAACACAGACATACAAATACACATTCACAAACACAGATATAAATACAAGCACAAACACACATGTATATATGAACACACACGTTCACAAACACAGACATATACACAAACACAAACATGCACATGTACAAACAGACCTACACACAAATATAAACACACACATACACATGCACAGATTACACACATTCACAAACACACATACACACAGGCCTACACACAAATACAAACACACACATATACGCACAAACATATACCTTCACACAGACATCCATACAAACACACACACACACACACACACAAGCACAGCTTTCTGACAGCCAGCCGCAGATATTTGTAATTAGGGTCCCTGAATCCAGCAGTCCCAGCCCCCACTCCCACTGCAGAGTACCCAAGGGTCCCCCACACTGAGGTGCTCCTTTATTGAACAGAACCTCTTATTACCAGCAGCTAAACAAACTAATAGGAAGATTATTTCCCCAGAGTGGAACGGTTTCTGATTTAGAATGTCTCATTCCAAGTGAAATTCACAGAGCAGCTGAAACTGACGTCTTCCATATCTGATAAAAACAAATGCCCCCTGAGTGGTAGCTGTGCAAGTGGCCGTATGGGTGCCCTCTGACATGAATCTTCAATCTGACATCACAGGATGGGCATGTGTGGGTGCACGGTGGGCTCAGGCATTGGCTCTCGTCTGTATGTTAGTTGTTTCACTCTTCAGGTCCTCCTAAGGAGCAAAGACTGTGCCCAGCCCAGGAACATGGCGTCAGTGATAAGAACATTAGAGCCAGATGGGACAGTTCTACGTGTACATCAAGAGTGTGATGCATTATAAGTGGAGGCAATCATCGGCTGCATTAGAACCCACAGAGTGTCCAGGACTAGAGAAGTGATGGCCCCACTATACTCCAGCCTCATTGAGCCTGATCCTCTCCAGCAACCACATATTTGGAAGGACATCAAAGAGCCAGAGAGCAATCAGAGAAGAGAAATCAAGGTAATGAAGGGCCTCAAATTTATGCCATTTGGGGATCCACAGATGGTCCTGGGGGTGTTTAAGCTAGAAAAGAAGATTGTGGAGAAGGAGGGCTGGGGAAGCATCAGAGTTATCTCCAGGTATTTGAAGGGCCATCAAATGGGATTTGAAATAAGTAACAGTCATAAGAATGGCTCACATTTATAAAGCACTTACTATGTGTCAGACACTGAGTTAAGTAAGTGCTTTACAAATATTATTTTATCCTCACAACAACCCTGGGAGGTGGGTGTTATTATTACCCCCATTTCACAGTTGAAGAAACAGAACTTAATTGACTTAATATTAATAATATTTATGCAGTGTCTACTCCAGATATTGTGCTAAGTGCTTTACAATTATAGCTCATTGGATCCTCACAACAAGACTGGGAGGGAGATACTATGATTATCTCCATTGTACAGATGAGGAAACTGAGACAAACAGAGGTTACATGACTTACCTAAGGTCACATGGCTAATAAGTATCCAAATCTAGATTTGAACTCGGGTCTTTTCCCAACTCCAGGCCCAGAGCTTTACCCACTGCACCACCTAGCAAGCTCACTATGGCTTTTTCTGCTTGATTCCAGAAGACAGAACTGGGAAGCAATGAGCCAAATAAGGAAAAGAACATTGGACAGGTGAGTTGGATGAGTAAAGCAGGTCAGAGGTTGAATCTGTAGAGGAAATGTCTAGCAAAATTGAACCATGAGCTCCATCTGGTCAGTGCCTGGTATATAGTTAACACTTAGCAGCTCATTGGCTGACTAAGTAAATGAAGAGAATTGGAAGAACAATCTCCAGGCCCAGATACTGGGCTGGAGTCTACATGTGAGTTATAAGAGAAAAAAGATCAAGAAGAGTTAAAAACAAAATAAAACAAAAAAACCCTTAAAATGATTAGGAGGATAAAGAACTCCTTAAGGTCAGGGCTGTTTCTTGATTTTTGCCTGTCTCCCTGTCTCCTAGCACAGGGAGCCCAGAAAAGTGGCTTCAAAGGCAAAGAAAAGTAGGAAAAAGGCAAGGCAGCTTACGTGTAACAAACAGACAGGTGGTTTCATAAAACAATAGACCAGACTGGCAGGTGTGGCAAATTGTCGGTAAAAAGTTTTAACTTTTAAAATTTTATAATCGGCTATTAAAAAGAAAAAGGTTTAACCAGGTACTTGGGGTTGAGGACTGAATGCCCACAAGTAGTTTCAAGAAACTGAAGACTGAAAATCTCAACCATTAAGCAGAGAGTGGGGATTGATTCAGTGCCTAGCCTCCCACAAAGATGAATCCCCCCCGAGGAGGAGGAGACGGGGATCAGGGAGCACCCCTTCCCATTCCACATTGTTGGGGAAAATGGGTGGAAGGAGTTCTAGATAAAACCAAAGGAAGGCTTCAATAGGGAAAAGGGGATGCTGAGATCCAGGAGGGGAGATGACCCTTGTAAGGATGAGGTAAATGTGAAAGCACCATATCGGCATCAGCATTTATGATTATAGACTTTGAGCTGGAAGAGATCTTCATTTCATAGATGAGGCCTCGGGAAATGGCACAATTCATCCAAAGCCATAGAGGTAGCAGATGGTGGGACTGGGAGTTGACCCCCCAGTGCTCTTTGGGGGGGTCATGTACAGTGAAAAGAACACTAGATTTAGAGGGAAAAGACTGAATTCAGATTCTGCCTCTGCCAATAGTGACAAGCATTTCTATCACCTTACAAACATCTCATTTTAATCTCTACAACAACTCTTGGAGGAAAGTGCTATTAACCCTATTTTCCCGAAATTTGCTACCCTTGTAATCTTAGGCAAGTCATTTGACCAACTTCTTTGGGCGTCAGTCTCTTCATCTACAAAATGAGATGGTGGTGGGGGACAATGGCGGGTGGGTAGGTGCGGAGGAGCTGTTCTAGGCGGCCTCTCCTTTCCTCTAGCTCTAAACCCAAGGGCTCTGACTCCAAATCTGGCCCCTGTTCCCCTGTCCTCTGGCCTGATTGATTGGTAAGGGGAGTGTTGAATAGTGGTTAGAGAGACAGGCAATGAAGACCCATGTTCAAGTACCCCCTTTGGAGCCTACTGCCCATGTGACCTTCAGCATCTCAACCTCTCAGGGCTCCCTCAGACGATCACTGGCAGAGAAGGTGCCAACCTGCGCTGATAGAAGGAATGCCCAGTGCCAGGGAAGGCCTTTCTCTGTATCCTTCACGAACCACAGGCTAGTTAACTAATTAGGTTTTTAGGAGATGGAGGAGCCAAGGGTTACTAGGGAATGCTGTGGTACAATGTATTTCACCTCCTCCTTGTGGATTCCTGTTGGGGTTTTTCCCTGGACAGTCCCAAAGGTGCAGCAGCATGCCAGTCTCTTCCAGGAGGAAGGCTGGCATTGCTCTGCCCACACCCAGGAAAACCCACCCAAGGACGGAAACAGCAATTAAATGGGGGAGGGAAAGGAAGAAGAGGGGGTGTCTACAATTGTTCGGTCTACTTCTGGAATTCTGACTACTCTTGACACAAGGCTGGGCTTCCCCTGGGAAGAGGGGGTGCTGGAACAGGGAAAGTAAGTATCCCAAAGGGAGGAGGAAGTGGAAATTCAATTGAGAATCCACTTACTGGGATCGTCCTTTATTCCAGGCACTGTGTGTGTGCTAGGAGACAGGGAGACAGGCAAAAAACAAGAAACAGCCCTGACCTTAAGGAGTCTGCATTCTAGTTGGGGAGCAAACAAATCTAGGCAAAGGACCATTTTCCTTTGTTTTCAGCAGCCCGGGCTTGAACTAAGAATCCCCTTCAATTCCTCGGAGGGGTTTTGCCTGGAGAAATTTTGCAGATGCCAAAGGACTGATTTCCAAGCTTCCTCTTCCTGCATCCCCAGCAGAAGAGGATTTCTGGCCGGTTGGCAGAGTTCTTTTCTTGGGAGATACCCAGATCAAACTTCCTTGTTCCTTAAGCCTGCCTCTTGGCTGTTCTATGTCAACAGTGGGAGGGGATGGTTTCAGGGTAGTCTGCTGGAATGTCTTTAAATCACAGAGGGTGGTAGGCTCTTCCACCTGCAGCTGTCCAGGAGCCCAGCTCAGGACATGTGCTCAGAGCCCGGGGAGCTCCGGAGGAGGCCAGTCTAGAAGGTATGTCGGGGCACCCCACCAGGGTGGAACTCCTTTTTACAATTGGGGAAATCCACTGCTTTCCTCCTCTGGGGAGCTGCTGAATAATGTGCAGTCTTTGGTCCTGTGGACTGTTGTCAGGACCAAGGGATCCAAACCACCTTCTCAGGTGGGTCAGGAAGAAGAACATGGGCTGCATCCCCAGGAGATTTTCCACAATTAGTGGTTTTATGGGTCTCAGTGCCAGTGAGAAAGAAGGACAGATGAGGTGTGTATGGGAGAGAAGGGTGGAGAGACAGATAGACAAAGAGAAGGCAGAGAAAGAGAAGGCAAAAGAGACAGAGACTCAGACACAGAAGAATGAGAACAAACAAAGGAGAGATTAAGACTTCTCAGATGAAAGATTCTTAGGGGTGCCACCCCTTCTTCCCCTCTTAAGCCAACCTCCACATATTACAGATGAAGAAAAGGAGGCTGAGGAAGGGATACCCAAGGCCACACAGCTGGAACTAAGGTTCTCTTGAATCCAAGGCCAACACTGTCCCTGCCATGGAGGTCATGCTGCCTTCTCTGGATAGAACAGAGGCTGCTCGAGGGCCTCCAGCCACAGCACCTTGCATAAAAGAAGTGCCTAATTAATGCTCAGTTCCCTGAACTGGGCCAAGCTTTGACTCACTTCCATTGTCGTTCCCAGGAAAGATGCCCCTTCAGGCCCAGATTGCCCTAATTATTGGCACAAGTTCCAGGGAACGTTGGCCTAATTACTGGCATTTGTTGGCTTGGATTCATGTCAAGAGGGTCAATGATCCCTCTAGGATCAGTGTGATCCCCATATTATCTCATGGGCAGTCAGGACTTGAACCCAGGTCTTCCTGGCTTCCTGGATTGCTATCTAACTATTATACCACATTTCCCTTACATCCCTTATGGTTAATTAGCAGTAGGGTGGGGAGGGGACCCTGAGCCCAAGTCAATGTAGTTTCCAGCCCAGCATCTGTCTGACTATTGTATTTTCATCTTGACACCCCAATATATTTATGTTATACATAGTTGGTATCAAACCTGCCCTCCAGATAATGCCTCAGTCCGTCAACAAGATCATTATGCACGTGGATAGAGTACTGGGCCTGGATTCAGGAACACCTGAATTCAAATCTGGCTTCAGACACTTACAGCTGTGTGATCCTGGGTGAGTCTTTATTAACTCACTGTCTGCCTCAGTTTCCTCAAATGTAAAATAGAGCTCATGAAAGCACCTACCTGATGTTGTAAGAATCATAGATAGATAGATAGATAGATAGATAGATAGATAGATAGATAGATAGATAGATAGATAGATAGAATGAATATAGACAAGGTGGTTTTTTGGAAGGGGAAACATTGGAAGCTGGGTAGGGGAGATTCAGGAAAGGTTTGGAATTCTAAGGGGCAGAGGTGAAGAGGGAGTGACCTCTGGCCACAGGGGACATAGGGGGCAAAGGCTCCTTCCTATGCTTCTTGGTTCTATCTCCTGCTTGGTCAAAGAATGCCTCTTCATCTGGGAACTTAGGAACCCCTTCTTTCTGTCCAGCAAACATTATCCAGGAGTTCTCCTAACACCTTTGCTGCCTCCAAAGAGGTCCTCTGGTCTGCTCCCTTTCATTTTACAGGAGAGGAAACTGAGACCCAGAGAGGTTCATAGGATTATAGAGCTTCAGCTAGAAGGGACTCTGGTCATCATTGAGTCCAACTCTCTCATTTTACAGCTGAGGAAACTGAGGCAAAGACTAGTTCAATAGTTTTCCAAAGGCACACAGAGAGTGGGATAACCAGGATTTAAGCCCCAGGTTCTCTGACTCGGCAGTCAGCCCCCTTTCCACCATAACCCGTTCCTTCCCTCCTCTTTAACCTTGCTGAGGTGACCAGCTTCTTCCTGGTCACATCCTAGCTTGTCAAAACAAATTACGGGAGGGAGCCATTGTGCCAAGATACCATTATTTCATTCTAAGCCAGCCCCACCCTGCTGTTCCTTGACAAATAGTAACTTTACTATACATTTGAGCAAAAAACCCGTGCCTTGTCACAGGGAGTCTTGGGCAAGTGGAGTCGTGATTTCAGCAACTACTTACTAAGTTGTAGTTTAGTGAGTCAGTCCTGGGGAAGGGGTTCAAGGCCCTGGGTGGGCCAGTGACTTTAAAATGTGGTCTCATTTGGTCCTCACAACAACCCTGGGAAGAAGGTGCTATTATCATACCCATTTTATATTGACTTGCCCAGGGTCTCACAGCTAATTAAGTGTCTGAGGTTGGATTTGAACTCAGATCTTTTTGAGGTCAAGCCCAGAGCTCTAACTACTTAACCACCTAGTTCTCCAGCGTTTCATGGATGGGGGGGGTACATCACAGCCCCAACAACTCAAGCCAGCTAGATTATTCCCACCCGTCCCCAATCACTACAATTCCATCACTCATCCTCAGTGAAGTGGATAATGGGTTCAGGAGCCAGACAAGTATCCAGGCCCAGTCCATGTTCTTAAACCTCCCAGCAAGGTGTCCATGGGACATGGCCACTCCCTCCATAGGGAGATACAATCAAAGGACCAAAGAAAAGATTGTAATCTCAATAGGGAGTCAGCATTATGGCATGACAGCCATAAAAGCCAAGGAAATCTTGGATTACATTGGGATTCTGGAGGTGACGGTCCCTCTGAACTCTGACCTGGTCAGCCCACACCTTGAGTACTGAGTTCAGATCAAGCCACCTCCACCCCAGCCATCCTCATCCTCTCCCCATGTGAACCATTTGGGCCTGCCCCAGGTTCTTGGGGGGTCAGCTTTGGCCTTCTCTTAACCAGGAACTGGCCATTTCCTGAACCTACTGAGTGCACCCCACCCCCACCCCCAGCCCCTGCCCTCTTTCCTATCTCTCCTCTCTATGTTGTCTCTCCTCAAAATGGCAACCTGTCTTGCTGACTTGCATTTTTAACTCCAGTACTTGGCCCAGAGAAAGCATTTAAATACTTTATCACCATTTCATAAGCTGGATGGAGAAGGGCCTTGAGTTCAAGTAGAATGAGTTTGTAAGCTCCCTGAGGGCAGGGACAGTCTTTTGCCTCTTTTTGTATCCCCAGTGCTTAGTACAGTACCTGGCACATAGTGGACCTTAATAAATGTTTGTTGATTGATTATTGATTGATTGATATGATGAGAATTGATGGGAGAAACTAGAAGTGTTCCGCCTGGAGAAAAGAAGATAGCGGCTAGGGCTGCAGGTTGAGAGTTCTCTTGAAATACAGGGTATCCCGAAAGTCTTTGTTTAGTTACAAGCTAGCTGCAAATTTGATACTGTTGTCAATTATGTAAATACTGTCCTTTAATAAAGCCTCCCTCCAGATCCTATGCCTTTCTCTTTAAGACTAGCCTTCTAATGAACCCTCAAGACACTACTGACTTAATTATGGACGCCACCATCTTTGTTGATCAGAGGGGCCTAAAACTCAGCTCTCTCTGGTGGGAAGAAATAACCTTCTCACTTGATCTGGAGGGCATTTCTTCAAAACGTAACCTGGCACAACGTGAATGATTTACACAGGGAAGGCTGGTCCCCTCTTTTTTGAGTCGATCAGTCTGGACAACCTGGATCAAGGGCTGCCCCTCTGAGTAGCTTCACTAATTAGTTTAGACTCGGCCTTTCTCAAGCATCAAAACTATCAATCCCTAATTAAGCAGGACTGATGGATGGTCAGACAGAAATGATCTGTGTCCTGAAGTGTCCTTTTGGGCTAATCTCCTGGTTGCAACCAACTCTGGGAATGGATCTATAGAAATATAAGTAAGAAGGAGGGGAGAGGTGAAGGAGGAGGAAGGGAGGGAAGGAGGAGGTGGTTTCTGAAAAGTTTACTTGGTCATTTAGATTTTTTCCTTTCTTCTGTCCGGCTGGTTCAGGGTTAGTGTGCCCTGACTCTTTGCCCAAAGTGTACTGCCTCTGCATCTTGTCTCCTTCCTATGAAGTAAGGGGAAGAAGAGTTGGGACGTGAAGGAAGTTCTGAGATCACCCAAGAGAGGTGGAGATTATAAAACTGACCACTGACCACAGAATAAAAAGGTCAGGGTACTGACCACTGGGCAGAGCAGTAACCCTACGGGTTACCCTAAAAGTGAATGTGGGTTTATTTCCCAAACACCAGCACACCTGAACAGTGGGGTCTCTCTCGACCTTCTGGTAACTTGAAGACAAGTAATAGGAGACATAAAGTCAAAGATTTAGAGCTAGAAGGGAATGTGAGGTCACCTAGAGCAACCCCTTCTCTTTATATATGAGGAACTCATATATAAACTCTTTCACTTTATAAAAGAGGCAACTGAAAGCTGGAGAGAGATTTAGTGACTTAGAACCCAGATTTAGAACTGGAGCAGACCTTAGATACCCCAACCCTAATCCTAGTCCAACCCCCCATTTTCCAGATGAGGAAACTGAGGCCCTGGGAGGTTAAAAATAATTTGTCTGTAGTCACACAAGTGATCAACTTGCAAGTGGTCCAACCAGCTCTTGAACCCAGGTCCTCTGACTTCAGAGCCAGCCAGCTCTTTCCATTTACTCTACCCCTACTTATCCAAACCTACACAAGGAGTTAATAGCAGGGGCAGGATTTGAACCTGTGTCCTCTGACTCCCAATCCCAAGCTCATTCCATGGCACAATGATATATTAGAGAGAAACCAATGGTCTCCAAGTTCAGCATGTGCTGAAATTATTAGTATCTTGAAAAAAGAAAATTTAGATAAATTGCTAGGTGGCCATGCCATAATGAGTTACTAATGGAAACCACATTGTTTGGGGGATACATTGCTAAGCTATTATGATAATGTGGGAGTGAGGGAGGAGCAGCCTCAGTGTGCCTACACTGTGTCTCTCAACAGACAGGTAATCTTTGCAATTCTCCTGGTTTTGTTCATTGTTTGAACCCGGACCCCCAGACCCTACAGGTTCCCACTGGCACTCTATGCCACATTCTAACTGTGTGACCTTGGGCAAATCACCTGA